ATTATAACAACAGGAGTCATGCTACAACAATGTATGTTCTTTTATGCAGTGATTTTGTAATAATCTTTCACATAACTATACACATTGTCATGTGTTAGCTTGATGGTAGAGAAAGTGTGTGGACAAAGAATCCCAAACATTTGCTATACTGCACAACTACATTCACGTAAGCCAAGATCAATACGCAAGTCCCCATATGCAGTATGTACACAAACCCTATTTCCTCCATAATGCTTTACAAACATTTGCTCAGCTCTAGCTAGGTGGTCTCTTAGTTTTGCCTCAATCTTTGGACCAACACCTTTTCTCCAAGTAGAGAGAGCCATTTTGGATGCATGCATTTTGCATGCTACCTTTTCTCTATGCTCATGGATCAATTGCACAACACCATGCCTTCTCTCAATGACCATCCATGAATTAAATGACTTTACAAGATTTATGGTTATATTGTCCAATTTTCTATATAGAAACTTAAATAAAGACCACTTATCAATGTTTCCATGATTTTCAAGCCATTAAGCCAATTTTGAACTGAAATTTTTCATGTTTCCCATTGCTTCATTAAAGTCATTCTCAAGCCTTACATATGCAATGTTATCAAGCAAGTTTAATGCATCATCCTTGCCCTTCCCACTTGTCCTTCTCTTACCTCTATTAATTTTCAAAAATTCTACACTAAAATTCCCCTTAATGTGATGGTAACAAAATGCATGTTGCTCGTCTCTAAAGATAGCTTGAACAGCACCCATTATGGCATTGTGTTGGCCTGAAACTATTATGAGTTGTATTGAGCCTATTATTTCTTTCACTATGTACAAGAACTAAGTCCAATCTTCAAGTGTCTCCCTTTTTATAATGGCATAAGCAAAGGGAAATAATTTATTATCAGCGTCATAAGCAGATGCTGATAGCAAAGTCCCTTTATAAGGACTACTTAGGTGGCTGCCATCTATGCATAATATGTGTCTTGTACCATGCATGAACCCTTTATACAACAGCCATAAGCTATAATGACACGCTCAAACTTGTTACTCTCAGCTGCAACCCACTTAGAAACTATTTTTAGGTTCATTTCCACTAATCAATCACAAACCTATAGAATTAATATATAAGATTGGTCCGGTCTATTATAGATCTCTTCTAACACCTTCCCTTTGGCTCTGTATGCTTGTCAATAGGTCAGATTGACACCATATTTTCTTTGCAACTCTTTCCTAATATCATTAGGATGTTTGTCTATATAAGACCTCACATCCGTAAGTACAATATATGATGTTAGACTTGAACTTCCCCTACGGGTAATAATCAAACTGTCTTGTGCATAATGTATGTGCTTATTTTTAAATGTCTTCACATGTAGAAATGAAGTTTTCTTTTCCAATGCATATGCTGTGATCTTCTAAGGGCAGTCTTCAATGTTACATCTCACTCTCATCTTCTTTGTACTATTATTCTTATATTTATATAAAACTTATAGGCAATGCTATATTTGTACAATGCTTTTCTAAAAGCTTCAGTATGTGGAAAGGTCTACCCTACACTTGACAACAAATCCCTCCACTTAGAAGAATTAAGCTCTGAAATCGATGTAGGTGCACTTTCTACTCCACATGGTAATGTTGGAAGTTCTTCACAAGTTTGGTAGGTTACACATTCTACCTCGCTTTCAAAGGTTACATGTTCGAAATCATGATCTTTAATAGGAGGAGAAGGAGAGTTTGGATATGAAAATGACAAGAATTTCTCCATCCTGTATTCAAAATCCATGCAACTTCATGTCTCATTTACACTTGCATTGACAATCACAACTTTAGTTACTAAAATAACAATTATGCTATAGCAAATGACAACTTTCTTTACAGGAATTAAACATAGTAACTTACATTGGTGCTTCCTCAATTGTTATTTCTCCATTGCCATTTTCTTTACAACCTATATTACATGATTGCTTCCAACATTATGCTCAAATAGGGTAGCAATTCCACCATCATTAACAAGGTCTATAAGGGTCATTTTATCATATCTCATAGTATATTTCATGTCGCTCAAATTAGTGTCAATGCCAAATTATTCTGAATTCTTCAAGTGTCATCCTTTCTCCTATCATTCTCACCCTCACACTCTCCCATCATATTGTATTTTACCTTCAATATTTTTTACAAAATGCCCCCTGTGTGGAAATAACAAAATAGTTCCTTTTCAAAACAAGAAGAAGAAGAAGTCATTTCTCATACCAACCTGAAATAATGAAATAGTCATTCATCAACATGTCTATTTTTAAATATCATGATCACATATCTGTTATGTTTTATTCAATAACAACTATCGTTCTTATATTCATAATTTTATATTTGTTATTTACAAGTTTTGCTTTATGCATTTGCAACAGAACTAAAAATGACATATCATTTATCATTTATTCACGTTGAGTAAGCATTAGTACCCACGTTTTTAGCTTTAAGCATGAAGAGAAAATGAAGACCTCAATCATTTATGTACAATAACCCATATCAACTTCAACTATCATATATGGGAGGAGAAAATTTCAAGGAAGAGAGAAAATACATTCACGTATAGCAGACCCAACAGAGGAAGATTGCATGCTAATATATACCCACGTGCAGTAGCCAATCAACACAAACAACCCATGTACAAAAACTTAAAACAAGGAACGCCAGAATGAGAACAAGAAGGAGAGGAGAAGAAAGAGAAGGAGAAAGAGAAGGAAAGGGAAAGGGAGAGGGAGACAAACCAATACCACGAGGCAGAGAAGATGAGAACATGAACAGTATTAATCAGAGCCTAAACACGCGGGAATTTTTCTTCAATGAGGATTGGTATTTTTATTTACTTTGAGGGCAATTTGGTCATTTCATTTGATTTTTTAATGACAAAAAAATCCCAAGAAACCTGAGGGGAATTATATTATTTCATGGGACCAATATGTCAATTAGCTATTTTAAATGACTCTTTCTATCATTTTTCCTTGGATATGTATATATATATATGATTGGAATTCTAATAGCATGCAAGATGTGGAAATTTAGGACCTGTTTTTAAAAATTATTTTTTAAAAAATAAATTATTTCAATAAGCGTTTTGAATTTTATTTTTTCATTTTTTATTTTTAATATCTTAAAGTTATTTTCATTTTATATTACAAACTATATTTAATTATTAATATATATATCTTAATTAATTTATATTATAAATCACTATCATTAACCGTTTGCAGCCAACACTATCAACCTATTTTTTAATTTTAAACTGTTTTTAAATTAACATAACAAAATATTTTTTTTGAAAATTAATTTTAAGAATTGTATTACAAAACCGTTTTGAAAAATAACCAAACACGCGGATAGTTTCTACAAATCTTTCTTTCTCATTGCATTGCTTACATCTTTCTTTTGCTTGTCCACTAAAAAAAATCCTGAATATATATTGTGTTTCTAGTAGTTTTAGCTTTTGGGAATCGCAATGGAAGATCCCTCTTCCAACACAATTTATATATAAATAAAATATACAAGTAGTATTCAGGCCAAACACACACACCACAAGCAGTAAAGTTTATTTCGATGGAACGCAATTTTGTGACAAATCAATCATATGCAATAAATATAAAAACAGCGACTTGAAAACTTTGAATATGACAATTTGACAATGAATGGTTTGGTTCTTGTGTCTTCTCAATCTTAAAAACGACAATCTCAGGTTGGTCCACACGTCACGATTTTGTATTCTTCTGAACACATATATTAATTTATGTGTGTCTCTCTGGATCCGTAAACTATGCCCTTCATTGGCTGTACTTTTACTAGATCATCGTCCTCAATTTGCAGATTCACATATTCTCATTTGTGAGCTGAGAAGAAACCCATCTTCACTTTGAAGAAGATTCATCTTTGTATTGAGTATTGTACAATATTAATGCTTTTGATTGAATTTGAGTGATATATCTATTTTGTCTTATTACATCGCTTGAATCACGAAGGCTTCAGTGGTTCATCTTCATCACTTTTCTGTTTAAATATTAAAAGTACACATTGTATAGTAGAAAAAGAGGGTCACCACTCAGAGGTGTGTTTGCTGGCCAGGAAAGTCGACTGATGAATCATTGGTATTGTGTTGCTTTTATGATGGGATATCCTCTGGGCTAAAGATATTTTAAGTATAATCACTCAAATTGGCTAGAAGGTAGCTGAATTCGAAAATGAAAAATTATGACTGAAATTTAAGGATATTAAATATTAATCTTTTAGGATTTTCAAATTACACGTTTATAATTAAATGGTAGAAATATGATTAATTTTGGTTCAGTAAAACAAAATCATCTATAATAAACATTAAATACCATGCATAATAATATGACTGAAAATGCATTAAGATTGCAAATATGTGTCATCATATTTAAGGCAATTTTGTTCGAGTTGTGAAAAAACATTTCTTTATACCACTTTACACTTTTCCTGCTCTTTTTAAAATTTTGATTAAAAAGAAATTAGGACATTTTATATTTTTAAGATGGAACAGAAAAAAGGTCTTATAAATTCAAGATAAGAAGGATTGAAGGGTAGGGGGGAGAGTAATCTATAAAAAAATATAAGATATTTTTAATTGAATCTCACATTTCAATAAAATAATTATATATCTTTAAACTAATATTATATTTTCATATTTACTCTTACTTAATAGAATGTTTCACCTTAAAATAAATATAAATTAATTTATTCAATACAGACATTTTAAAAAAAAATAATAACTATACATTGAAAGATTAAAAATGCCTTTCACTTGAAGGAGGGAATATTTACTTGAACACTAAATGCTTTGTATATGACCTTTATTTAGAGATTTTCAATCATTAAAGTCTAACTTTAAGGTTACAAGGGAATAATATAACAGTGTGATATATAATATTTTGGAGGTTATAAGACAATAATCATGAAAAACTCCTTCCAAATCATTCACTAAGAAAGCCAGAGTTAAGGACATAAACATTAAGCTATGGAATTTGAAACATTAAAGATAAAAAATTTCAGAAGTTAGGAGTAGGACATACAACTCATCCATACAATATTTGCAATTTAACCTACTATTTATATACTGCTACCTTCTCATTTTGTTTGCACAAAAAAGGACTTCAATATGCATCAGACCTCTAAACTAATTTCATGATTTCACAATAAACCAATAAACCAAAAGCACCGTGGCACATTTCAGGTCACTCCAAATCAACAATGCTAGGAATTGTTGAGAAACAAGAAACCTCATATCAAAGTAAGGGTCCTGCATGGTGTACCTGTGACCGCCTGGTGCCTTCATCTCTTTCCACGAGTATCTAGAAAGAGCATGAAATCCCTACCTCGTTCAATACCTTTCTCGCTCATCATAATGTGCTTCTCTTACTGTACATCTATCTGGGCCTCCTTTGGAGATCAAGAAGAAAACAATCACTAATTGCTGAAATCCCTACTTACCTTGAAGTCTTCGAGGCAGGAGAACTAAAAAAGAAGGCGAGTATAGCTTAGAACAGGGACAGTGGTTATTCCATAAACTTGTAACGTCTATGAACAGTTTACCTTCTGAAATATTACAAAAGCTTTGAAGAGGAAATATGGTTTCTGGATCAACCAATCTCTGGGAAGAAACTGCCACGTACAGGCGTTGCTTACTGCAAAAGGCAGATTGACTCTCAAGTATAATTAGGCATGTGGATATTCGAAACATCAATAACGAGATTACATGACATGTGCAATCATCTTAGATATTAAGCAAGTTCTAGAACTGATAATCGCATTTGCATGCTTTACAAGTGATTGAAGCTTTTGCTAAATTTATTCTCCTAGATTCAATTTGAATTGTGAATGTCACTTTCTCCATGAGGGTTTCAAACCCGAACAAATCATCACCAAGTGACGGTAGGCAATTAATAAGGTGCTTAATGGAGGGACTCACAAACCTTGCCCATGAGGGGACAAATTTATCGGTATCTGCACTATCATCATCGTCTTCTTCTTCATCATCCGAACCTTTGTATGGAGAAATGTCGTATGATTGCTCTTCAATCGTGTTTTGGATGATCAAATCATCCTTTCCAGTTCGTTTGATAGTATGGCCAATTACCTGTAGAGAAATATGATTTCATGATGATTATAGAACTCATACAATTTCGACAGGGTATGATTTCAGAAAGTTCAGACTTGGGCAAATGCTTCAACTTTGAGGAAAAGTATCATGCATTGTCAGGAATACTGAGACCAAAGAGATACCCTTTTCATCCATTTTTTTTCTCGGTGTTTGTATTGGAAGGAAAATAGTTACTGGACTAATACCTAAGTACTGTGAAATCACTGAAAATGCCAGGCTTTATTTGAGAAAGTCAACCACAGATGTTACCATTTCTTTATTAGTTTCGCTTTCTTTTGTTTCATCAACCGATGGGTTCTTGCTAGTAGGAGTTTCAGCCAATGGAAGGTTCATGTTGCCTTCTCTATCATTTTCCAAGTTCTTGCATTTTTCCCTTCCATCTGTACATTCCTTGCTTTCATTTTTTCCATCGACCTGCAGCAGAATGACAGTATTAGCATTTTTACGTTAAACGATAAAGGAAAAGAGAAATGTGCAATAAGAAAGCAGCATTTTACAGCATCACAGCATTTTGTTCCTTTTTCTTCTTTCTTAGCACATATCTTCTCACGCTCTTGGTGCTTCCTCCTTGCTTCCTCAACACGCTTCCTTTTTCTCTCTTTCTCATTTCTTTCTTCTTCCTCTCTCTGTTTTGCTTCCTCAACACGCTTTCTTTTTCTTTCTTTCTCGATTCTTTCTTCTTCTTCCCTCTGTCTCTTCTTTGCCGCTATTTCTGCCTCCCGTTTCTTTCGTTCCTCCTCTTTCTTTCTGTTCTGCAGCTCCAGTTGTCTTTTGTTGTCTTGCTCCATTCTTTCCCGTTCAAGTCTCAATGCTTCTTTTTTCATCTTACGTTCATTCTCTTTCTTTTCAGCGATACGCTTTGCAGCCTCAGCAGCCTCAAGGGCTTTAACTTTAATGTCCCTCTTCCCTAAATGTTCACAAATAATAATACGGTCATAAAAGAAAAATACCAAACGGTCGACCATACCCATGGGCCATGATAGATGATAACCTTAACTGTAACATTTTAAAGGATGTAGCCACTATCCACGACGCACCGAAACATGTATGCATATTTAGGTGGTGAAAAAAACAAAGTACCCATAGTCAATATAGCAGAAGCTTAAGACTTGGATATGACAAAGATATCAATATCAATATAAATAAAAACCAATGTTGGACTAGGAACCGGTCATAATGTCCCCTCCGGAACTATGCAAAAACAGATGCAAAAGCAAGCGGACATACCGATGAAAAACTGGCCTAAACCAGTCAAGCTGACGGTTCGACTGGCTCTACCGGTTTGTATGAATTTTTTTTTTTTTTTAACTGAAACGGGGTTCTACTCACTAAACCTCCGTTGGGGGAAAAAGACTGAAATTGTTGATCCAAAAAGAGAAGAAGTAATGGCAAAGAAGGAGAAGAAGGACTGAGAACGATAAAAAGAAGACAAGATGGAGAAGGAGGAAGAAGAAAAAGATGAAGATATAAAAAATGGCACAGTATAAAAGTCAAACAAAAATATGAAAAGAAATTTCGTAGACTACAAAAAAGCTAATATAATGTACCAAAACGATAGCTGATGGCACAGGATGATGAGATAGAAAAATGGATACACTGTAAGTGCCGAAGCATTACGAAATAAAAAATATTTACGTCCCAAATCTCATGCAAGTGTGCATGCTGAAATTCAAGCCTCAAGAAGCAGATCCTGGCGATGGACGAATTGTAAACTTCATCCTGTACGTAAATGAACTAAACAAGATTAATTACCTGTAATAACTTCTGCTGCTTGTTTCTGTTGTACAAGAGGAATGAAGGATGTGACGTTGGATACAATATTGCTGCACGAAGACTTCCCACCGGGATAAGTGGGACCTTTGTTCATGCTATTTTTGCCAGACAACTTGGGCCTACTGGATCTATTGCGAAGCGATTCAGCGGTCCTCCTAGCATGACTTGCTCCTCGGGATAAATTCTGGTTCTCCTTCCCCTTACCGGTGAATCTTCTCCTGCCGGCACTACCTTTTTCAAGTTTCTGTTTTTCCTGATTGTTAGTGCCACAGAAGCTGAACTCTCTGGCCACCGAATCAAGGCCACATCCTTCAGCCAATATATCATCTTGAGAAACAAATGAAGGCTTTGCATTATCCGTAATTTCCGCAAGTGGTTCTCTCGTGATTGAGACAGTCGTCCTTTCTGGTCGAATTCTATTTTGGAAAGTAGTGGCTATTTCATCCGCAGCCTCATTTTCTTCATCAATACAGGGCAGCTCCGGTATTGAACTTTCCCGTTTCCCTGAACTGCCATACTTCGAATTAATTCTATCCCATAGAGTTTGAATTGGAGAAACACAAGCTTTCTTGATGTCCCAAGTTGATTGAGTTTTGCAATTCGGTAGGCAATCAGAAAACGACTTTCCACTCTCACTATTTACAGGAAGGGAAGTCCTCATATCCATCATGCCTTCGACAAGTCCATTTGGTAAAGACCGATAAAGGTCCGGTATCTTGTGTAATCTATATGGGTTAGAAGAAGAGCACAACGGAGAATGCAAGAAAGTAGAACTGCCAAGGCGCTTCAAAATGGAGGCATATTCATCTGTATCACTTGACAAGTTCAACTTTTCTAATTCAATCTGATCTCCGTCAGTGCACGGCCTTGCCTTATCTGGTTGGATAATGAAACCTTCCATCTCGGGTACAGTTTCATTTGCACCAATCAGATCCGAATGTTGGATCCCTTGAGAAACAGATGAACCTTCTAAGAGCATAGCAGTCTCTTCCGGATAAATCCTTCCCGAACTGCTTCCTTCTGCATCCAGGTTCTTGCCTGCGGTGCACCGCTTGCTTGAGCCAATGCCAAAACCACATGAATTTGTCAGTAACTTCTGCGCCGTCAAACAATAGTAAGAGTTGCTAGAGCCCTGTTCAGTCAAACAAGGTACAACGGATTCTCCTAATCCGTTTGAAGTAAAAGAAAGAAGAGTGTTGCCACTTCTGTCCCTTCCATCCAAGTTCATTTTCTGCTGACACGAAAATCATTTTAATAGTTGTTACTAGAGAAAGCGGACAGGAAACGTTTGCAGAAATTTTAGGGGTTCAGTTGCTGATGTCATTCTTGCCCTATGCAACCTTGTTTGTGAATACATGCAACTAGCTTATTAAAAGACTGATGCCATGCAAACACAGCGATTGGCCAAAGTTTAATCAAAGCTAACAGCCATGGATTGCATTAAAATCTATAAGTTCACTATCCAGTCCTTACTTCCATTAATACCTGAAAGGTATATCGGTATTCAGATCATGCTCTAAACACCTTCATATTTCGGGAATAAGACCAACCCTACTAAACATTATTGCAGGTGATGTTGTCATTTTTCTTGTTGAATAGTCCAAGAATAGGAAACAAGATTTCATGGAAACGAAGCTAACACATAATATTCTTGAAATGCTTTTTCATCAACTGTCAACAAATTTTCATAAATCTAAGGCATGAAGGCTCGAAAACCAAAAGTACAAGTTGGGGTATCCCCAAAGCAAAATAGCCAAACAGAAAGAAAACAGTTCGGAGTATAACATTGATAGTGATGAGAATAAGGAAATTAATACTACATAGAGATACATATAAACTATTGAAAGACGAAAAAAAATGAAGGAGTAAACTTTAAATATTGAAGGCGGCTGTTTCCTATTTGATCAAGGATTACTTGAAACCTGCCTCTGAAGCACTCTAGATTATTAGTGAAAACAATTTTATCATCAAAATAATTAAAACAAAGATTTTTTTTTTGGCTATTAAATTCCCTAATAGTCAACATTGGAGTTATTAAATAGCATTTTCTATAAAACAACATTGGAAATTTGATAGATAAAAATGTTCCGTTTTAATTACCTCAAAGGTAAAATTGCTCCAATTAATATTTTAAGATGCAAAATTGCTCCAATTAATATTTTAAGATATTGGGTGCTCTTCACATAATAAAATATATCATTACCATTTTTTTCCCTTGAAAAAGAACGCTATTCTACTGTCCCAATTGAATTTCTATATTTGACTTGTAGGTTATTGAGCTTTCTCTTCTCGGTTCTTCCTTCCCTGGCTCTAATATTTATTCTTGCTCAACCGGTTAACTGATTCTAAGAACAAACTTCTGCAATCTCAGTTTTCTCAACAGTCCGATTATTTCTGAACTTTTCTTGCTCTCTGAAATATCATCGCATACAACAAGGACGGAAAACATTTTGGTTTCCATCAAAATAGATCTATTTATGCACCTAGAAAAAGACTATTAATAGACACTCCAACCCAAAAAATTTAAGTTAAATGAACAATATTATACATCTAGAATATCAATCTATTTGATTTTATTATAATATATTGATTTTCTAAAACAAATGCGGTTGTCCATCAAAATAATTCTATTTATGTCTATGCCAAAGCACGCTGCTTGATAATTATTGTCTAAAAAGTAGAAAGATTTTAAATGCCATATAGTGGCGCTTAGTCTGACATCAACTTTCACTATTGCAACATATACAGAAGACTCGGACTCAACGCTGATCCATGGAAAAGAAAATCGTTCAAATTTAATCTCAATAATTTTAGAGTGTAAGACAGAAAATTAGGTACCTGGTCCGAACTTACATCAAGGGATGACCCCTCGATTATGTTGTATCCCTTGGTATTTTGCATTTCTTCAGCTGTACTGTCATTGACATGCGAATTTTCCATATCCTCTTGATGAGATGTCAAATATTGAACTTCTATGCTGGCCTCTCGGTTATCTTCTTTAATATTGAAGTTCCCACTCACCAACCTGGTGTTATTAGATCCATGTAGCTTTTCCAGATGGCTAGGAGAGGAAGTTAGAGATCTCTCTGCATGACTCTCAGTCTTTCTTCTCTTATGTTGAGGACAAGAATGCTCCATATCAGAGGCAACACTCCCTGTGGAATTTTTCACAATCTGGAATTTTTTTGAAAAACCAACATCCTTTTCATCATTGATCCACTTCCCTCCCGATAAGCTATTATTTTGATGTAAGCAAACGCCAGAACTTGCGACCGGGTTTGTCAAAGAAATGTTCGATTCACCCATGGCAGCTGCAGACCCAACTGCAAGATTGTTAACAGATTGAGCTGCATTTCCAAGCAGATCACTGTCTTTAACTGCTGTAGAACAAGTGTCCTCCATTATTCTAGAACCACATTCATCACCTCCCCCGTAAATGTTTTCTGAAGAAAGTTTGGTTGCCATAGCTTCCTTTGAGGAACTTCCTGATGAATTTTGACCAGCAGTTTGTGATGGAATTTTGCGGTTCGTTGAGGAAGGTAAGTTCTGACTTCCTATGGAAGTATGAGGACATGACTCCTGAACCACAAATGACTGTGATTTGGATGTCATGACATTTCGCGGTTTCCCGGCTGCATCAATCTCCTCTAAATGGCTTTCACAAGATTTCATTTGAGGTCCGTCTTCTCTGACCGTAACTTCCTGCCTGACTAGCAATTGCGTATCCATGGAAAAGTTGCACTTCTCATGGAATACACGAGATGTTAATTTGTTATCCAAACATCCTGGTTCTAACATGGTCAAAGTTCCTTTATCTGGCGGTACGTCCTGTCCTGCTTTTTGATCAGCACCAGGAATTCCATTCATACTCAATTCTGCAACATTATCAAAATCAAGTTGTTTGGGCTTCACAGACAATACAAAATTAGAGGGCGGCGGCCTTGAGACTGAAACGTCCAATCCAACTTTAGGGGAAGATCCTAAGCTAGCATTATGTTTATCAACCAAAACGTCAAACTCTGCAGCAACTTTGGTTAAAGTTCCAGCAGATCTGTCATCAATATTATGAGTGACATTGGCACCTGATATTATATTTTCTCGAGTGTCCATGGATTTCTTGGCCACAACTGTTTCAGCACGCAATGATTTCTCAAGCAAAGACTTGTTCAAAGTTGAAGGTCTACGCCCCGAATTTCTGCTATCTAAATAGGAAGAATTCACAGGCCTCAATGATCCTTCAGTTGTGGAGGTAGCCACAGCCCTTGTATTTCCACAAGAAGCTGCTGCTGCAATTTCGGTATCAAATTTGCAATCCTTTTCACTTGTAGAGGTTCTTCCAGCAACAATTTCAGTACCCTCTAACTCAGGATATCTATTAGAAGCAGTAGAATGAGAGCAGGTAGAACTTCTATCAACAAAAATGTTGCTGACTGACTTCGATTTTCCTTCATTAGTCTTCACTTTTAACGCACATAAATCTGGATCCTCCTCACAACGGAAGGAACCAACAACAGCCATTGCAGGAAGCTGTGAATGCTGTGAAACTGAAGGTTGAGGTGATTGAATTGATTTCCCGATTGACTTTAACGAACCACCATGCATAAAAACATCTTCAATAGGTGACTGGCAAAAACTTCCAGGCAATCTTCTAATCTTAACATTGCTTTCTTGTTTGTCACTGCAGCAGTCGCCATCTTTGGTTGCTTTCCTCTGACATTCATTTTCATGATCACGGGTTTTGCTAATCAATGTTAGTCCACCGTTAACTACTGGTTGCAAAGAATCCAGGAGTTCGACTCCATTACCTCCAGCCAAGGCACTTTCAAGCTCCAACAATTCATTGTCGCATTTTGTTTGGCTGGTACTTCTAGATCTCGTTACTCTCTTACTAAAAGCATTGTTTTCCGTTACCCTCCTCTGATAATCTCCTTTATTTGTCTCCTTAGCTTCGCAACTTCCATTTGAAAAACAAGGGGCATTAATTGGCTCCAATCGTTGGATCACATTATTAGACTCAGGACCATCTTCCACTTCGGAAGAACTAACCACATTCGAAGAGTTGAGTTTCAGTGCTAAGCTTCTAGATCTCGTAACACGTCGAGAACAATTAGACTGATCATTTCTCTGAGTCAAACACTCGCCTCTTTCTACTTCTTCTGCAGCACAACCTTGGATATTGGTATTGGAAGCATTCGCCAATCCTGACCCTTCAAAACGGCCCAATTGTGGGGAAGAAGTTGCAGAACCTGTTTTTCCGCCAGCACAAACACTAGTATTATTATCATCTCCAAAACAGCTTTTAGCTGCCTTAGCACTATGACGGAGCTCCAGAGCCCTCTGCCTTGACTTTGATCTTTGCAACTTTGCCAGTGAGAGAGCTGGGTCATTGTAACTCTGTGGGATTCTTGATTCCATCTGAATTTGAGGAGATATAGCAGCAGATTCCATTTCTGCAGCACTAATTGAGGAACGGCCAACATTATTGACAGAGCAATCTGGCAAATTTGAAAGTCTATCTCCTGCATCGATGTCTCTATTTAGAACATGAAATTCACCATGCAAACCACTTTGACGCTGATCATCATGAGTTGTAGCAACGACGTTGCCCTGCAGACTGCAACGACGATCAGAGATAGGAATTGTAGATTGTGCTGTCGAGAATAGAGCTCCAAATATAAGATCATCTTCATTCAAATCTGCACGTGCAGAAATTATTTTGAATGGATCAGGGTTCAATTTCCCTAAACAAAATTGGCCGAGACATACTGGCCAAAATATTACCAGATGAGAAGCACTACTCGAATTTAATGTATCAATAGGAGCATATAAATGAATCCAATCCCCCTGGATACTGTCATGCGTTACAAATAAAACAAGAAAGAATAGAAAACTGAAGTAGCGTTCAGTAACGGAAAATTGAAGCATGTCAGGACATTGGAAATAAAATGAGACACCTCAAAATAACATTATTGTGGAGTTTTAGGGCTTCCAGACATGGAGAAGTCATAGATTTGAAATTACAAATAACAAATTGAAGAAAGTTCTAGCTTACTAAATTAGAAAGTCATAAGTTGAAAACAATAATTTTCTTCACTTTGTACTACTGGGAAACAGTTATTTGGAGGACAATGCTCAAAATAACATTATTGTGGAGTTTTAAGGCTTCCAGAATGGAGAAGTCATAGATTTGAAATTACAAATAACAAAATGTAGAAAGTTCTAGCTTGCTGAATTAGAAAGCCATAAGTTGAAAACAATAATTTTCTTTACTTTGTACTACTGGCAAACAGTAATTTGGAGGACAATGCTCAGTATAGTGCAAAAGAAAACACTTGAAAAATAAAACCATCGCGAATTTTTAAAGCGATACAATGAAAACACAGTTATTGAAATGTTGCCAGTAAAAAATTTGCAACCTCTGCCCTCCCCAGCGCCCCTTCAATTTTCATAATGAAAGAAAAAACCATAAAACAAGGAAATACTGGAAACACGTTGGTCCTGTCAGAGTCAACGTAGGGTTGAATTTTCACTCTCGAGGGTAGAAACATATCCCCGGACTGCCAAGTCCATACTGTGATCCTAAAAACACTAATGCCAGGTTTAATAAGCCCAAGCCAAGGGCATTGAGAGAAGAAATGGTTTCTAAGAAAGGAGATGAAGCATTACCTTTGGGATCTGAGTTAAGGGAGGCAAGCATAGGGTTGGACAACCATGGAGGAGGGATGATTCCATCGATAAGGAGTTTAGAGACAAGGTGCTGGTCGAATAGATGGCACTGGCGATGGGCCTGATCAATGATTCGCTTCTTCTTCTCGAAGATCTGAATGAACAGCTTCTCTATCGCCGACATTGTTCAGAGGATTGGCAGGAAAGCGCAGATGACAAGGTGGTGGAGAGAGAGAATAAGAGCTCGCGTCCTGAATTTGTAAAGCAAGTTATCGATTATCTCCTGAAATTACCCACGGGGAAGAAAAAAGAACATTTTCGATTACCTCCAGATCAGAAATGGAGGCACCAAAAACCTGCCTCCGTCGATGAAAGATGACCTCCTCTCGTCCCACTCATAACATGCCGGCCTAACAAGCCGAAAAGCTCAGATTTTTCAGTTACTCAGTCGGTTGTGACGATACATACAGCCAGACTGATCTTCAGTCCTTCGCAGAAGCCATAGATCAAGATCCAGATACAATTTTTCAATCTAGGCAAACCAGATATCGTGGATAGACATATTGAATGAAGCTCAGGGTCTTCGTTTTGGATGAACGGAAGAGACGAGCTTTGCGCTTAGCGCGCATTCGAATTCAAATTCAGGGGAGAAATGAAACTCGATGGATCATAACGGATTCGGGTCCGGTTAGTTTGTCGGGCTGACCGTTTTGTGCGCCACATATGCTAATGATTCTGGACCGGGCCGGATTCAGGCCAGCCCTGTCTTTATCAATAACGCTTAATATAAGCCCAACCATAAGTTGGGCCCATGATCCAAGCCTCAAAGACTTTTGAAAAAATATCATCTAAAGACTCCTGCAACATTTTAATATAGAAAAAGGACATTAAAAACGTTTTAATATCACATCACCCCTGGGACATGCCTGAAAATAAGATTTTAGAAATGCAAAGACTTAATTACCCCTATAGCCTTTTACTAGTCTTGCTCTCAATATAAATAATAAAGAATTCAGCTATTGATAAGTTATCATATATAGTTAATAAATAAACATTTGTTCACAAACAATTTGCAAAAATTGATAAACTTAGTATCTCATTTATAGCCAAATGGTAACTTGTCAATAGCAGATGCTTTGTTGTTTATACTGAAGCAATACTTGTAAAATTAAACTAAGCCTATCAATTTTATAACTTATTTATGAACAAATATTTGTTTGTTAATTACGTATAACAATTTATCAACAGCCAAACGCTTTATTGTTTATAATGAAATAAGGCTTGTAAAATTTAACTAGGCCTATCAATTTTTGCAATTTATTCATGAACGAATGTTCATTTGTTAATTATGTACAATAATTTATTAATGATCAAATGCTTTGGTTATTATATTGAAACAAGACTTGTAAAACATTGCAAGGGTAATTAGGTCCTTTCCCCCGTAATCTTATTTTCAAATAGATCTAGGGGATACGGTGATATTTCATATTTTCAGGATCTTTCTTTACTATTAAAACTCTACAGGGTCCTTATATGATACTTTATCTTATATTTAAGAGGAACGAAGGTTTTTTATTTGGTGTGTATCATTGGCTTACCTTATGTCGAGTTGAGAGAACTCTAACGGGAGCCCAAATTATATGGATGCACGTCCAAATCCAAACATGATTCAACATAATCTTGCTACATATTGATTAGAAATAAACGCATGGAGGGACAACCAACCCATTAATTCTCTTTTGTTTCATGACCATCACAAGTGCAGGATTATGTTTAGTAAGGGTGTTTATGGGATGGGACAAGACATAATACTCCCGTCCCATGTCTCGTCCCAAAAAAAAAATCGAGACTAAAATTTGGTCTTGTGTTTCATCTAATCTCAAAAGTCGTCCAATCCTGTTAAGAGTCAGAACGGGACCAGAATAAAATCGGAATGTCCCGCCATCCCGATAAATTGGATAATATCAAAAAAAAAATCTAGATAATAATGTTCATTAAAATTTTAAATTATATAATTTATTAAGTTTAAAATTAATTACATAAATCACAACAATTTAGAGTCAATTATTGAATTACATTAATCACAACTACACATTATAATAGCAAATACAAGTGATCTTTAGGTTATAAGAGTAGCAACAATAGGCAAATCAATCATAACATTAAATCATTGTTCTTTTACTTTAGTAGAGATGTACTAAACTAATTATTTTTCTAAAATCAAAGCAAGAAATATACTATAAATAAAAGTTATTAAATAGATAGATATAGAAATAAATTATATTAATATAATTAATATATTATATAAAATATTGTCATGTTTACTCAAGGTCATTAAAATTATCAAAATAAAAAAATTAATTTTAAATAAGAATTGCAAATATTGAAATTATAATTGATATAATTAATATAAGTATAAATTATATTAATATAATTAATATATTTAAAATAAAAAATAATATATATATATATATAATATTCGGGACAGGACGTCCTGATGATAATCCTGTGTCCTGTCTCGTCTCGATTATTTTCGGGTCGGGACAAGACCAGTCCTGATATGATCGGGACGATATCGGGTCAATCGATATGGGTCTAAACTGAACACCCTTAATGCTTAGCCTTTCAATGTAAAATTTTCTTATTGACGAAAGGCCATGGGCAAACAGCAAACTCGTACAAAAGATTATACATTCTTTTGACTAGATCTACCAACCTCGTACACTGAGTGAGTCAATAAGATAAAAAATGTCATGAGCTAAGTTTGCAAGCTAGTTAGCACATTCATTGATTTCCCATAAATATGGCACATAGTGATATTCTAATATTTAACTTTTTTTTAAGTAGTGGGGTAAGCCTAAGCACAATTACATCATAATCAACCTTGGGCAAGTCAAGCCCAGTCATTCCTTATACAAGAAATCAAGTAAACCCTCAAAAGGTTCACTCAAAATCTGAAGACCATACTCCTGCGATAGACTCCAGTTAGCTAGCCAATTAGTACCAAAATTTTCTTCTCTAAAAATTTGTACCACTCTTACATTTCAACTATCATCAATCATATTCTACATTTGAAGTAAAAATTTGCCCGTTACACGTGAACTTGACAAGAACTGTTGTAGCATATTCACAATTGTAATAGAGTCAGATTCAATTATAACCCTCTTCGCAGTGTGAGAAAACCTAACCACATTTCCCATAACTCTGCCTCTAATATTAAACAGTTTAACTAGAAAGTCCCGAATGTCTAGCTTGACCATTGTATGGAAACCCAGACCGGACCAGCTAGTTCAGCTCATGAACTAGTGACCCAATCTCTTTTTCGATCTAGATTTCCACCTAAATCGGCCAACCACTAACCCGGTGTGATCACGGCTAACTCGGGGTCAACCCAGGATAACTTGGTAGCCGAGTTGCTAGGGTAGCGAGGGTCACTTTTTTCTTGAAATTGTAAAAACTAAATAAAAAGTAAAAAATTCAGCTTGAAAATTAAAAAAGCGAGGCAATGGAGGGCGAGACAATTAAACTAGATTTCATTATCTATAGTTTGAATTTCAAATAGAAGGCTTTAATTGTAAGTTCAAACTTAAAAAATTCAATATTCTTTTAAGTTAGTTGTGCCTTAATTGTTTTAATCTTTCATTATCTGTTGTTATTCATTTGTCTGATTGTTGCTTAGCATTTATGAATTATGATTGTCATTGTTAATGATTTTAGTGTTAGTGATGATCAGTTTTGGATTTTTTAATAATTGAAGAGCTATATATTATAATTGTAAGAATGAATATTTAAAAAATTGTATTTTATTATTGTTAAACTTTTGGGTAGTTGTAATTTTATAATTATTATTGTATTTATATCTTGAATTTGGTTAAATATTTTCATAATTAATGCCTTTTTATTTAAATTATATTATTTTAATCATAATCAATTTGCCTTTCGAATTGAACCACTAACTTATAACCCACTGACTTAGCTAGTTCAATAACTGATTTAGTTTTTAAAACCTTGAGCTTGACCGATTATATCTTGGAAAGGATGACTGCCACCTTGAAATCTCCTAATCAGAGATATGCCCTCTGCACAATCTGAATAAACCTTTGCGTTCCTCATACCTATTTCCCAGCAGAGTTGAGATTAAACGGTCAAGTTTTTAGAGCTACGAATCCTCCTTTCATCACTGATCTCATTGAAGTTGGCAGACGTAGAATTAGACAAGCGGAACAGAAGACCGCATGCCCTTCCTCGTGCTTAAATGGGCTCGAATCTGAGCTGAATCTTAAGACAGCTTTTCATACACTTTAAATTTTTCATTCAGACATTTTGTCACAATAATTTCACATTTACTTTTAAAAAAATAGGAGTCCCATACAAAAATCCCACTCCGAGACCCCGCAACAGGACAAAAATTCCTGAAATCTAATAAATTAACTGTTGCCCAAAATATATATTAAAAACTGAATCAGCTAATACAAAATTATTCAAGGCCAACGCCTAATGACAAAATTGAATGTATGCTCACGACCCCATTAACCATCGGTCTGCATACCGGACGATGGCACTTCTTCAGAGTTGAGCTGATCATCATCATCCTCACTCTGATCGCTCTGGCCCCCACCAGCACCCATTGCAGTTCCCTTCTGGAAGTAATCGACTTTGAAGTCATAATCACCGGCCATAGCATCGGATGTAGCTTTGTTAGCCTTTTTTCTCTTCTTCTTCTCTGCTCTCCTAAGCTTAGTATTAAGCATTCCTTCCTCTGCATATAGTTTCTCATTTTGCCTACTAGCAGCAGTTTTCCCCATGCTCTTGCCGTCATCCTGACATTCCATAGACTCGTCCGCATTGATTTCTGCTGCATTCTCCGGACCTTCACCTTCATTTGTTGGTTGAGGTTGCATATCATCCTAAAATACAGTGGTGAACGATAAGATGATTTCATTAATGAAAAATTGATATTGGAGGTTCATGACTAAGATAAAGTGGCATGCTAAAAAAAAACCCAAGCATTTCCCCAGAACCATCATGGTCCTGCTGATACTAAATTAACAAAAACGTGGAGCAGGATCAAGTTGCAAGGTTCCAGTAATTATTTAGGGAGAATTACACACAATTCCCACTCAAGACAATTAATTACTCTCAGGTCCATCGACAACTAAGTTTAGGAAAATGACAGCACAAAATATTGTCATTGTCCTAAACTCAATTGTCCATGAATTTTGGAGTAATTAATTATCTTGAGTGGGACCTTAAAGTAATTCTCCTAATTATTTAAGTCTAATGATGGTGATTATCTTCTGAAATTTAAATTGATATAACCCATCTTTCAAGGACCCAAATGGTAATTTGTCATCCTGAAAATTTTTCTCATTCTGATTTAGAAGATTTAAAAGTTTAAGCAGCATGATATCATGGGTAAAACTCCAAATGTAATAACAAACCTCTAACATTGTCTGGTCAAATTTGAGAGGGTGACTTGAAGGAACTTCAACAGGATTGAAGTCATCAGCAGATTTAAGGCTTCCTATGAATGAAGATTCACTTTTGTAAACTTCGTCAATGTTAAACTCCTTTGCAAACTCGGAAACTATCT